GAATCTTGGCATCCAAAAAAACTCTAAGAGAACAAGGAAAGAATGTCCAAGTCAGTTTCAGACATGCAGAAGAGATAAAGGGCGGTGAGAAGTCCTTACAAAAGGGGTTGTAAGTGGTTTAGTTTTTGTAAAGTTGCTTTCTAGTCGTGCAGTAGAAAGAACACATCACAGCATCTACAGCAGCCAATTAGTATCAAACCCACTATTTTTTAAAAGACCAGAAAAACAGGAAAATGCACTTCTTCTTACAGTAGGACTTAGTAATTCGTTGATTCTCAAGGTGACCCAACGTATTCTGCAAGCTGTACCTTATTCTCCTTTCCAGGAGAGAAAACAGAGAACCTTCCCAGCCTCAATGTGCTTCAGGGCAAACCACCCCAGTGCTTATTCAGACTACAACGTCCCCTCATTTCAGCTAGAGACTACAGCCTGTGTCCCAATAAAGCAGCATCTCCCCTGCATAAGCTGCACACAGAGGATATACAACAGCTAGCTCATGGTGGCCACATGTTGTCAGCCACAGTGACAGCTCAGGTCCAAGTCAGCAGGCACCATCACCCTATTTCTTTAGCCTTCTTGACACAGCAGTGCTTCCACTTCAGAGCAGAGCAATAAACAGGGAATTTAGCTGTCCCACCAATGCTCCTCTTCCTCCATGCCTTGAAGATCATGACCATGGCAAAGAAAAGAATACCTTCTGAGTAGCCGCTGGCCATATACAATGGCCTGCTGCTGCCTGCACTTGTACAAAACAGTGGAGGAGGACATTTGCATTGCAGTTCTCTGACGTCTGAGGGAAGATCTCTGTCTGTGACTGTGGGAAGATCTGTTGTCTGCAGTTTGTGGTACCAGTTGATAAGCTGTCATTTGGCTCAAGCACTGCAAACTTCCACATGTGTGACAATGCAAAACAAGCTAAAGTGGCCACCAAGTCGTCTGTGATGCGCTACAAGTCAGCAGGCAACTGATAATGCATTAAGTAATATATGTAAAACCAACATCAGAAAGTCAAAGAGGGTTTGGGTCTCCTATGCCAACCATATCTTTAGCAGGCATTCCATTCTTAAGCCGGGAGGAAGACATGGGCCTTAGTCATTTATATGTAAAGCTACAGCTTGTCCAGGGCACTGCTGCTGCATTTCAAACCTCTGCATGCAGGGCTCATGACATGCTCTGGCATTATGTGTGCTGCCAGTAGCACTGCTGGTTTACTGGCATCTCACACAAGCTGAAATTTGACTGCCCAACCATGTGTTCACATACGCATTCTGTGCTGGCTGCAGCAGAGATTATGGGGAAGCACCGTCATTAGCCCAGCAACCTACCAGCTTGTTGCGGGGCTGCTGCACCTACAGGTCTGCCACCTGGAAGCAGCTGCAGCATCTGAGCACTTGATGTCCTCCTACTCCCCTTGAGGAAAGAAATACCTTGTGCAGCCTTTTAAACCATCATCTCATCTTAAACTCACAGCTCTCACAGTCTGCAATTCTTTTTATGGTCCGTCGTATCAATTCCCAATCAGGCATAGGACTTGCCCCTGTCTTTGGGAGCAGTGGAACTGAAAACTCTTGGCCTGATCTGTTACACCTGCAGAGAAGCCCTTTCTAAAGCCTCATCCTAACTTCAAATCCACAACAGCAATGTCAGACTCAGATGGAAAAAACTGTGCCTCCTGTGACCAGGAAGCGAAGAACTGAAAAAAGTTAGTGCAGCGTTAGCACTGACGATCCCCTGGCACCAGCCTCTGCTGTACTTCCCCTGCGCTCCTGTTTTTCTGGGATGCCAGTTAACCGCTGCCGACACCCCCTCCCGCCCACCACTACTGTCACCACTACTGTCACCCCTTACAAAGGGGCGGCCACTCCGCTTCAGCCCTTCCTTCTGGCCCGGGACTGCAGAGCGGACGGGATGCTGGATCAGGCTGGGCCGGCACAAGTTTCCCGCTGTTCGCCCGCCGCTCCCGGCACGGCTGTTCCCTCACCCTCCGCCCCGGCGCTTCTCCCGGAGCAGCCACGGCTGCCCGCGCCCGCCCGGGCCCCGGCCGCGGCTCAGCGCCGCCGCTCCCGGTGCCGCCGCGGCCGGGCACAGGACCGGCTGTTCCCTCTCCCGCTGCGCCGGGAGCCGCCGGGAGCGGCCGCTGCTCCGGGGGCGGCGGGGACGGGGCGGGCGTGACGTCAGCGATGAGGCGCGAAGCCGGCGCGGAGGGGGCGGCGCGCGCCGGGAATGCGGAGCGGGACCGGGACCAGGACCAGGACCAGGACCGGGACCTGCCCCGCGGACCCGGGGCCGCGCTGCGCGCCCGGCCGGGACCAAGTTCAAACACGCCGTGCCCGCCCGCCCGCGCACAGATCCCAACAACCGGCGCTTCTCTCGGCACCCGCAGATTTCACGAGGAGCCTCCGACCGTCTCCGCGGCAGCGCGCCCGGCCGGGCGGCGGCACCTGCCAGCCCCTCGGCCGCTGCCCCGGGCCGGCCCGCCCCGGCACCCGAGCCGCCCCCCGGGCGCTCCGCCCGCTCCCTCGAGGCCGGTGCCCGCCACCCGCGCTCACCACGAGGAGAGCCCCGCGCCCCCTCCCCGCCGGGCCGGGGCCGCCACCGCGCTGCCCCTCGGGGCCCTGCTCCAGCCCGGGAGGACGGAGGGGAAGGAGCCGCGGCGGGGGCGGCCGGGACGCGCACTCACCTGCCCAGGCGCCCAGCGCCGGCCCCACGACGGCGGCGCCGCTGCCCAGCACCCAGACGCGGAGGCCGGCCAGCAGGCGGTACGAGGCCAGCGCCGCCGCGTACAGGGCGCCCAGCGCGCCCACCCAGTAGAGGAGGCCGGCGGCCGGGAGCACGGCAGGAGCCACCATGCTGCGGAGGCTGCCGCGGCCGGACTGAGCCCTCCCGGCCACCGCCGCCCCGCAGCCGTCACGGCGCCCGCCCCCGCCCCGCCGCGATTGGCGGAGGGGCCGCTCAGGCACCGGGTAACCCGGCAACGCGGCCGGGCCCGCCCGCCCCGGGGCCGCCCGGCCACACGCCCCCGTACTACTTGCGGCCTGCGCCCCACGTGGTCGGCACCGCTCTCCTGCCTCCATTGGCCGGCAAGGATGGCCGTCACCCGGCGACCGCGCTCCGATTGGCCCCGCTGCGCGAAGGCCTTGCAGGATTGGCGAAGGACGGGTCCTCTCTTCCCGCCCCACTGACGTCATATGAGCCCATTCATAAAATGCTCAGGCTCCGCCCGGCACCCGAATGTATCCCTGGGTTCCCCTCCCCCTCCCCCCCCGCGCTCCCCCCGCCATGGAATCGACACGGCACGGCCGGGGGCACCGGGAACAGGGCACCGGGGAAAGCGCGGCTGGGCACCGCAGCCCGGTCGCCACGGCTCTCATGCAGCGGTGGCTGGCAGCGCTCTCCTTCTGACCGGCCTCGGTCTGCCTCCCCCGCCAAGATCCAGGGGCAGCGGAGCCCTCCTGACATATTTCCCCACTTGCTGCACTACGCCTAGACTTGCTCTTCCCCGCCGTCCTTCACCTGCCCTTTTGGCACGACCTCGGTCCCAGAGCCCCGCGCGCGATGGGTCGGGAGCGCCTGGACTGGGGGAGTGTAGGAGACACCTCTGAAATAACACACACACACACACACTCACTCCCTCTGTGGCCCTTTCCATGGTTGCAGAGAAGAGCACGAAGCCTCCCGCTGGGGCCGAGCCACCCGCACCCCGCGTACGGGCCCCGGGCTTATCCCGCCCTTCTAGGAGGGAGCCTGGGGTGGGAACGAGGTGGGACTGGGGAGGCGTGGGAATGTGAAGTCCTGAAATAGCTCATGGTTGAGATGCAGTGCCTGAACAGGCTGGAAGGGCAGGAGTGGCTGAGGAAGAAGGAAAATCGGTGGCGTCTTGGTGCAATGTGTGGGGCAACCAAAATGAAAGAGAAGTCCAGTGGAGGTGGAGGGGACCACTGTTTTCAAAGGGAGCCTCCTGCAACTCTCAGTGTCAAAATCTTTTTCTAGAAAACAAACCTTTCATACCATTTCTTTGACAATGACTTCATTTCAATCAGTAAGAAACGTTCTCTAGATGAGTTTTTTTGGAGCATACATCTTGGAGATTGACAACAGGTACCACAGCAGGCTTGTTGCCTTTCCTTTCTCCCCTGCACTGGCAAACAGGTCATACCCAAAGCCAGTCACTCCTGCTGAAGATCTCTTGAGCTGTACCAAAGCACCACTCTGCCTCAGACTTCATCCTCTTACCATGCTGCTCTGACACCAAGGAGACCCCAATTTGGCCTTCCCAGATACCCCACCAAAATAATCCAAAAAGAATCCAAAATAAAGGTAAAGTTGATCTTCCTCATCCACCAATGTTATTACATTGCTCTCTTCCTCTTGCTTTTTGTCCGGCTGCTGCCAGAGACGCTCAAGCTGGTGGCACCTGTGTTCATGAGTCTCTACACCTAGCTTTGCCAGCTTCCCATGCCACCCTTGCCTCTGTAAAGCACTGCTGCCAGGCTGCAGCCATGGGTCAGTTTCCCTCACTCTCTCCTTTGCATTACTCTCCACACACCATGCTCTCCTCTGGGAGGTGGGAAATCAACATGCTACAGATCTGGCTACCCTTTAGAGAGCCCACTCCTGCAGACTGCTTACTATGAACGGAATGGATTTACAAGAGCTCTGCAATTTCTCTCTCCTTGTCCTATCCCACGTTTCCTAAACTTTGCCGGTTTGTTGTTCATAAAGCATGAGCGCCTCAACGCAGGGATTACATTTGCAAGAGTTTGAAAAGATTGCAACAGGTAAGTATCTTAAGTGTTGCACCTTGAGGCCCCAACCCACCCATGATTAATTGCAGTTACAAGGACTATTGCAACCTCAAAGGTCTCATTTAGAAACAAGATGCTTTTGTATGACATCAATTATAGAAAGAACTGTGTGTCCTGAGACACACGAGGTTGAACTTAATGACCTTTCATGTTTCATGCTAAGGGAAACAAGACCAAAGAAATTAAATGAAAACATGCTTTGATAGGTCTATTCCTTTTATTAGTTTAATATAAATAAATGTTTCTTACATTTCCTGTTATTAAATATATATGCACACAAAATAGCTTTTCACACAGATACATAATTAATAGAAATCAAAGGCTTCTGTTCTACTTGTGGAAAACAATTAAATTCATAGCAGGATTACAATTCCATTGGATTCAACAACATACTGTCTGCAGTGACATTGATTAAAGGCATGAAACTATCATACACTTCGCAATGAAAAATGGGTCAAGTCCCTGTCTTATTGGCTGACCTGTAGGTTTACAGCTGACTTTTAGAAATTAATCTTTACCATACAGCACTTATATCTGACCTATTAGGAGGGAACGTCCCTGGATTTTGTTCAGTTCCACAACAGGGGGAATCCATCCTCATGGTGATTTAGCCCACTGGGTTTTGGTTTTTGGGGTGTTTTTTTGCTTTTGTTTGTCACTCACTCAGCTGTGAAAGTGACACTGCAGAGGATCCAGCTCTCACCAACTTTTTTCCTGATTTTTTTCCAAGAGAGGCCACCTATTGCTTACTGGACACCATTTTTAGAATAGTGTGATATGCTAGGGCTAACTCTTGCTGTTACACAAGGAAAATCCTCATAGGCCTCACCTAGTGTATTTCTGACATAACACATTCCAAAGACAGGATTTTGATTACAAGTAAGTGCAAAATGCTGGGATTGTTTTCTTCCTGTTCCATACCAGCTTTTCCTTAATTTGTAAACCTACTTTAATCTGCATGGAGAATCTTGGCATTTCTGCATAAACACTCCTGTGTTGGAAAGAAACAATGTTGTTACCACAAGAGAAAAGAAGAGAGGTAATCAGAGGGAGGTTTGAGTATCACTCTCACTGGGATCATAGTGCAATTGTAAATTGTTAGAAAGAACATGCGCTTGCTGTGACCACATCACACTATTTTCTTCCACTGGCTGTCAAGGCAGTTCTCAAACTGTTTGCAGGATAAATGACACACTGCTGATTCTCACTCTTTCGTCCTCCAGAGGACCAGGCAATAAAAGAGAGGATATGGCATAAGCACCTGGAAAGAGAAAAGGTACCAGTTTGCCCAGAGTGAGAGATCTACTACAAGTCAAAGACAACACAGGAGCTGAAGTGAAGGATGGAAGGTATCAGAATGATCACCAGTCACCAAGTGTTGAGAATGAAAGTGCACTGGGCAGCTGGACAGTGTATGTAGAGGCTGGAGAAAAGCACATGGGTGTTGGGTAACCTGCTTAAGGGAGCAGGCAACTTCCTACTGGACATTCACATAAACCACACTGCAGTTACTAAGGGGATGCTGCCAATTACAGATGGGCCAGAAATAGGGAAGGAAGTACATGGGTGCCATGAAAGATGTGTTGACCTTTGTCAGAGCCTACCCATCTTTTATTATAACATCTACTCCCCACTGCACTGCAGTTGTGCTGCTCCTGAGACCTCTTGTCTGAACAACCTTCTTGTTGTGGGTCAGGACAGAACCTGCCCTGCTGTTCTCTCAAGGGAACTGATAAATCCACTGACAGAGAAGCACAGGTACAGAAAGGCAGTCCTTGGGTTTTTTTGTGTTAAAAAATAATACTGGTTATTCAACAGCATTGCTATTTTTTACGCTACTCTGTTCAGAGAGAAAGGCAGTCCTCTGAGAAGCTTACAGTCTACATTTAGAAGAAGATGAGTCACAGGCAGGGAAAGGGACTCACTGGAAGAGAAAGAACTATACAAAGGTCAAGTGAGGGGGTTTTGGATCTCTTGCTTATGGGCATCACACATTCCTGGGCAACAGGCATATTCCCCTTTTCATGGTTAATCCCAGTATTCCCATGAGCTTTGCAGGTCTGTTTCCATTTGCCACAAGGAGCAGCAAATCCCAAAGGAGCACTCAGTCAGCTGAGCTGATGGAATAGACAGGCATTTTGAATGTACTCACAACATGCACACACACATATACGTGAAGATACCTTGCCAAGGCCCCAGAGATCCATATTTCCACAGCATCTTTTATCAGTTCAGGCATGTAGTCAGTTCCAGATGACTGCAGATGCAACCTGCGTCAGGGTGGTGATGCAAGCCTAAGTCAACCCACAACTCGGCTACATTGCTCCATCACATGGAAGGCGGCCAAGCTGTATGGCAGATCACAAGAGAGACAAAAGAAAAGTATTCAGGAAAGCTAAAGGAGTAAAGACATGCACGACTAAAAAATGCAACAATAATGAACAAAAAATAAGGATGTAGAACTACCCCAAAAGGAGACAAAGCTCTGCAGCAACCCTTACAGCAGGATGGGGGACTGCTGGTTATCTGAGATGTGTCATGTGTTTTTCGTGCCACTGAGAAGAAATGTAGTCATTTGTTTCATTAAATGGCATTCTTGTACCAAGCACTAATTTTATCCCTTTACAAATATGTTTTTCACTCTAGCAAGTCAAGAGCAGCTCTTCCTTCTGTACAGTCATTCTGCTCTCATGCCTCTGTTATCATTACTCACACTTACTGAGGTGAGGCCAGATTCAAAGAAGGTCCTGGCTCTTGCGGTGCTGAGCACTGCAGCATGTCTTTGCCTAAATTCACAGATTCAAATTATGACACCCTGCCCCAGTGCACACTGAAGGCAATAAGTAGAATACCTAAGAATATAATCTTCATTATCCATCCTGTTAAATGAAAATCTCTACAAGAACCAGTTAGACATGCCAACAAATCTCTCAAGACACCTCGTCCACTGCTGAGTTGATCCTAACGCTGGGGTGAGGTAGGACACCTTGTGTGGAATTCTCGACCCTCAGCCTTTCCTTAGGCACCCACTCCATCACCTTGCTGGGGTCGTGGTACCCCTCCAAGTTCACATGCTATTTAGCACTCACCTAGGAACTCAGTTTTCCCTCTTCTGCCTGAAAGGGCAGCAAAGTGTTTTAACAGCATGGCACAGACGTGTGCTGGGCGAGGTGATTTTGGCTGAAGCTGTTGCACAGCATACAGAATCACAGAATCAATCATCTTATCATATAAGTACAGAATGGTTTGGGCTGGAAGGGACCTTGAAGATCATCTAGTTCCAACCCTCCCTGCTGTGGGCATGGGCACCTTTCACCAGATCAGGTTGCGCAGAGCCCCATCCAACCTGGCCTTGAACACTCACAGGGATGGGGCATCCACAACTTCTCTGGGCAACCTGTTCCACTGCCTCACCACCCTCAGTAAAGAATTTTTTCCTAACAACTGGTTTTCCATAATCTGAAATGATGTGAGGGAAAGCCAGTGGGACTGGAGGGGCTGGAGCAGACATTCTCAGTGCCATCCTGTGCATAAATCTTAAGCATGTCTTAAAGCCGTGTATTTGGGCAACACTGAAAGCAGGTATTTATGTAACCCTCTTCCCTCCAAGCAGGTGCTTGGGGATCCACGTTTCAGACTTGGGCCTTGCCAGCAGCAGCCAGCCAGCTCTCGCTGCCAGCCCTACAGGACTGCCATGGGCCTAACACAGGGCACCTCAGCACTTGTGAGAAGGCGCACCAGGCACTGAACAACCACAGAAGAGCTGATTGTCCCTGCTCTGCACAGCGTACAGGAGCAAATGAGCCAGAGAGCAGTTGCTTGGGAGAAAGGGATGGACCTGGTAACATTAAGTGCCATAATAAATCAGCAGGTAAGCACAAATTTTGATTGGCATGTCACTCATCCTGCAATTGCACACTTTTGACTATAGTTTATATGAGAAGGATAGGGACTTGCAAACACAAGTCAGCTTTGAAACACAAGTCTTAGCTTTGAAATTGAGCCATTTAGGCATTTTAGGTTACCACACTGTGTAAAAGCTATACACTCCTTGTTTCTTAAATAAATTTCGCCATCAGCAACCTGCCCTTCTGCTTTAGGGAATAAAGTCCTAAATTTCTCAACAACAAAACATTCCAGATAAACGTAGCAATGGAAGATAAACAGAACCTAAAGACTAGACAGTAGCTGGCATATTAACTAGTTGAGTCTATAGACTGTAAATTTAGCATGCCAAGCAGATGTACACAGCTCTTTACAAGAAGGTCTGTTCAGCTTCCCTTACAAACAGGAAATAATACAAATGGCACTAAAAACTTCTTGTACTTTGTACAGGGTTTTTTCACTTTTATCTTCTGTGGATTAACAGGTGAGTCTCCTGTAAAATCTCAAAATTTCTCTTTTTATTGCCATTCCCCATTTAGAGTATTCAGAAGTGATTACAATAGGGAGATCCAGATCCTCTCATCATGCAAACCAAGGAAAGGCTTGAGTAGGACATGCATATAAAGTGGTGTTTGTTTTTTTTAATCACCAGCGACACTGGAAATCAAGTACGACTAAAAAAAATCTAACAGTTGTGCATGCTGCAAATCCAAGTGCAACATGTGTTTACTGGAGAGACATAATATGGCCATGGCAACAGATGATTAACCTTCTTCAATCCTACAGCCCCCTGAAATATATTGATTTTGAGCTGAAAATATCATCTCTTTGAATGAAATACAGTGTGCTCATTGTTTAATCCTTGATGTCTCTTCTACCTAGTTTCGTAACTATAGATAAGTGATACAGATACTTGTCCACATAAAATGAACAAAGTTCAGGAATGCATGTCCCTCACAGCACTGCCAACACTCAGTCTCACCTTGCATCATACATTCACTTTCAGATGCAGATGATGGACTATATCTGGACTATATACTCTATATATGGACTATATATTAATAAACCCTGTCTCTTCATCCATAACCCATTATTCATCCACTGCACTGTATTACATACACTCAATCCTCTTTCACAGCATCCTTTTGTGGAGCATATTGAATGTGAGATTGTGTCTATAGGTCTCCCTCCACCCTGCTGCACCACATCTCTGAAAGAGTCTGTCTAGCACAAGCTGGTACATACCCAAGAGACAGAAATCATGTGACATTTCCTCTCTCACACATAACAATTTACCTCTTCCATCATCATATCCTTTCTTAAAAAAACCATCATCATCCACTTGCCAGACAGTTCTGGTGCCCCTGCCATAACCTGGCACTTGTAGAAGACTTTGTCTTGGCCAGTCCCAGTATTTCACAAACATGAATTAAGTTTTGAAGAATGCCTGTTAACCACATTGTATCACTCCTAGAGGAAATGGGATGGTAGCAAGTTCAATTAGGAACCCACCAGGGGCAGAAGCTGATAGCAAAAAAAAAAAAAAAAAATCTGTTTCCTATCTATCTTTAACATCCAGTTATGCATCTGTATTTTTTTCTTCAAATTCTTTGTACTTCTACAAAATGACTACTACTTCAAGTACTTCGTACTTCTACTTCAAGACTTCCTAAAGAGTCCTACCGTTAGTTTTAACCATTAAAGGTAGCATTTCAAAACCACCCTTGTTTGAAAATAATGTAAGACCAAAGACATCACAATAACATTTCCACCAAGAACGCCATCTATTCAGGGGATGTAAAACACTATCCCTCTGGAGACATCAATGGAAATCTGAAGATTTACAGCAGCTCCAAAGTATGCCTACAAATAATAATTAAAAATAAACAAACATTAACAATAAAAAACCGCAACCCAAAAAATGCTGCTGCAGGCTGCCTTGAACCATCCCTTTCCATCCCTCACTGTTACCAAACCAAGCTTTAACATACTTTGTTTTGTTCAGTGTCTAAGTTCTCAGTTCTTCTATATATTGATCCTCTATTACTTTTGCTCATTAGCCAGCATGCACAGCAAATGAGGTTTATGTGTATTTGTACATATCTGAGTATACATATGTACATATTCCCCCCAGAATTGTTTACATAAAACCAGCCAAAGAATGGACTTGCCCTACTCTTAGTAGATCTAATTTTTGTTTAATATTAAAATATTAGCTGTTTTGCTTTTGTTATTGAATCACACAAATGTCATTACCAACCTTGTCACGTGAACGCTTCTCACTTCCATGAATTCTCTCCTCCAATCAGTACTATTTCAAGAGGCATAATGCAGCACAAGAGAACAAGAAACTGGTGACACTAGTGGAAGTGCCTCTTTTTGCAGTGGAAAGCCTTGTAGGATGACAGTGGCAACGCAGGTCAGAAAATTTTACTTTGCTGAAGACCTAACACTGTGTTCCCACCATTTCAGAGGGAAAGTCCACAACTTCCTTCCAATTCAAAAAAGTCAAGAAAAGAAGAAGAGAAAGAACCTGAAGAACCTGCTATGAATAGAATTATTTTCTTTAAAGAATCAGACTCATGATGGAAGAGAGGAATATTTTTCAGAAATGTGGGTTAGATAACAAGCAGGCACGTTTCATTCCATACTCATACAATCACTTTTATGGTCACACTTCTGCCCTGTAAGCCTCAAGATTCAATCTGCAGCTAAATCCCACCTTATGGAAAAAATGTGCAAGAAAACATTTAGAAATAATACATATTTGTTTTTTTGTTTTCCAAGTCTTTCATGTTGTCTCATACCAAATGAGCCTTCCATTTTCATGACTTGTTCACCTCCAGGCATATGAAGGAAGTTAATCCCTATAATCCATTCACTCCTTTGCCTCAGCAACTATTGAAAGTACCACTGGTAGCACTTAATGCATAAATTGATGATTAGATTGATTTTATCACTTAGTTTTCTATTGACCACTGAATGGGAAGTTACCTCCTTAAAACATATTATTTCTCTTTGAATAACCTGCTACAGATGTGCACTGAGAAATAAAATTAAAATGGATGGCTGAGCAATGATTGCTTAACTCCCTGCTCTGTGGAGATTTCCCCAATAGCAAAAAGCCAAGTAAAAACCTAAATTGTCTGCCTAGAGGACGGCAGCCTTGCTGAAAAGCAACGTTCTTTAATCATTAGGTTCTTCTGTCAGTTTTTCAGTGCTGCACTAAGTGCTGGATGTAAAAACTATGGAGTTCAAAAGGCAAAAAGACACAGGGTCTCACACCTTAGAAAGCTGATTATACATACTTTTTAGAATGCAATATCGCATTGCCCTAGATGACTTTTTCATTTAAATACTTTCCAAAAAATTGTTCCATTAAGACTTCCACAAGTAGCCCATCCAGGGGCAAGACGTCAGGTAGCACTGTGTGAATACACCTTCAGCATGGTGTCCAAACCAC